AATCTTTCCTAGCTTATATGAGAGAGTCAAGGCATGATAATTTTTTTCATGCCCAGAGCAAGCATTCATCTTTCCTAAAGCATTGCAGGCTTTGATTAGTACACCAGGGACTGATCCAAATGTCACTGATAAAACAGAATAGTAAAGTTTCACTTTTTCTAAGCCTTTTGATGTTTCTTCTTCATTTGTACCTATCAGAAAGTACTTACTCTGTGGTAGAGGAAGCTAAATTTTAGTTTCCTTTAATTGATTTTTAAGTAAGAGAAAAGATTAAAAGGAACATTTTCAGCATAGGATATCTTGTGCTAAATGCACAGAAGCCACCAAAGACGAAATGATACCATATTTCCAGGTGATGTAAATGTTATCAGATGACCGGCCGTTGAACAGTTGTTGGCATACAGAAATGATTCTTGAAATGGAGTAAAAATTCTCTTCACACAGAAATAAAGAAGTAATTGAGTGTCTGGATAGATCTGATAATCATGACCTTGTCATGGAATTTTACAAGGTAATTACACAGTTGCATCCTGATGTATAAAATAAGGAAATAATACTTGAGATTAGAAACTGAGAAGTATATCAACCAAATTACATTGTAGCGTGGGTATGGTTTGTGCTTTTATATAGCACATTACTTCAAAAACATGAGTCGGTTATTTCAAGAGGCAGAAGTAAAGACCTAAATAAAATCAAAAGATATATAATGTTCTTGGTTGGGAAAGGTAAATATAGAAAAGAGGTAGTGCTAAGTTTATATATGAATTTAATGTACTTTTTCCTTGGAATACTTTGTGGAAGTTATGTTAAAGACAAAAGTCAACCAAAAAAAGAAAAAAGTCATGTAGGTGTATTTGTATGTGTCTATGTATTTAAGTTTTATATTTTATAATACCTGTCTCAAAGAAAATATATAAATATTTTTGACCTAATAATTCCATTTTTGAGAAATTATACTTCAGATGTACCCATAATTATGTACAATGACATATGAATGAATATTTTGTCACAATAATTGAGAGTTTCCACTGGCATTTAATGAGCAGGGTCCAGGTATACAAAACATCCTGCACTATGAAAGACTCCTAAACAACAAAAATTATGCTTTTCTAGTGGTTAGTAGTACCTATGTTGAGAACCATTGTTAAATTCTGGGAATATGGGGATGAATAAGCAAAGCCAAGTTCTTTATTGTGTTTTTAATGAGAACAACATTATATATTTGTTTCATGTCTGCGAAAATCAAATCAGGGTAGGGTGCTAAAGGGGGCCAGGAGCAGCTAATTTCGATGGAGGTCAGGGAAGGCCTGTCTGAGGAGGCAGCATTTGGACAGGAACTCGTATGACCTGAGGGAATGGACCATGCAGAGAAGAGGAGGTTGCGGGGTACATTCTAGGCAGAGGACACAAGTGTACAAACTCTGAGGCAGGAGCCAAGATAAAGGCAGTTCACCAATAGTAAAAAGGCTAGTGTGGCAGGGCGGTAATGAGTAAGGGGAAGGTGCCCCGATGTATCAGAGATCAGAGAGCTGGGCGGGGCTTTGGTCATGTCAGGCCTTGCAAACCATAGTAAGGAGTTTGAGTTTTATTCTGAATACGATAGGAAGCCATTGGAATTTTTTTTTTTTTTTTTTAGCAGGAAAGTGACACGTTCACATTTACGTTTTACAACAGTTACTCTGCCTCGTATGTCATGTGAATTGACTATAGGAGCCTGTGAGTGGATACAGGGAGACCAGTAGGAATCTAATGCAGTAAGAATGGGCTAGAGATGTTGGTGACTTAGATTAGGCATATGGAGAAGCATTTGGATTCAGAATTTTGAGGTCTTTTTTGGGAGGTGGTAAAATCTCAGTTGAATTAATCAAGCTCCTGGGGTCATGGCACATTTATTACCCATGTTTGCAAAGTCCCTCTATCTTTTCTTTTCTTATCTATGACCTCTGTTTTCGTTGCTCTCTCTCCCCAGTAGACATGTTTCTATTATATTTGGTACATGCCTCAGAATACATATATTAATATTTTAACATAAAGTGTTTATGGATAAAGTATTTCAGTTTTACATAAATGTCGTAGTGCTGTTCAGTGGTTCTCAAACTTTAGTGTGCATCATAAATACCTCGAGAGCTTGTTCAAAAACAGTTGTCTCCAATTTCTTTCTATAATGCACATTGCTTATGATATAAATCAACTTATGGCCTCCTGTCTTAATTTCTCTACGGTTTATGAACAAGAATGGGAAAAGGGTATATGCCTTTATATTTGAACTGACTATTGCCAGCTCACTCTTCGGGATAGATAACTGTACCCATCTATACTCTTACCTAAGAGTTCCTATTTCCTTACATCCCTTTCTCCAGAATTTGGTTTCATCTTCATTTTCTAATATTTACCAAAATGACGGGTATAAAGTAGTAACTTATTGTTGTTTCAATTAATATTTTTCTAATTCCTAATGAAATTGAACATCTCCTCACAGGTTAGTCATTTCACTCTTATAATCAGTGTTAAGAGTTTCTTGTGCGTTCTTTCACAGGTAGGTTAAGCGTATACAAGCATATTTACATAATCTATTTTTAAGAAATAAATGTGCTTATCACCGTACATTTCCTTTTAAGTGCTGCTTTATCTGAATCCCACAGATTTTGACATGTATTGTTTTTATTATCATTCAGCGTTTTATATTTTAAGAATTCTCTGTAACCCTAGGACAATGAAGTGTGTTATGTTTTTTCTTTCCAGTCATATGAGATTTTTTTGGAGTTAGTATTTTGTTACCGATTCTAATTAATATAATTTGATCAGAGAACATCATCTGAGTAATATCCCCTCTTTGGAATTTATGGAGACTCCCTTTGTGAGGCAGTGCCTAGTCGATTTTTGTTACTATCTCATATGTATTTGGAAAAAATGCATTCTCTGTTTGAATTGTTCTCTGTAACTTGGATTATTTTTGTCTACTAGAACTGAGTTACTTTTGGGTTTCTGTCAAAATCTCCAACTACAATTATTTCTATATCTATTTCTCACCATCGTCTTGTCAAAATTTTGGGGGGGGGGAGGTGTTTTTATTTTACATAATTGCAGAATGCTAGATTCAACTTACTATTGTGTTGGTTTTTTTTAATGTGCTTTTCTTCAATTTCATTGTATTTTCTCCATTTTTATAAGTCTCCTCTTGGAAGTACCTTCAGAGTTTGCTGGAAATTTTTTCATCTTTAGTAATATCAGTAAAGTCTTATTCTTTATGGGATGTTTTGCAACTTGGCAAACAGTTATTAAGAGCCAGCTCTGAAGAATTTTTCCCAATCTTGGCGTAAAACGACAAATGTATTTCAATATGGGTTTTTAAGGGTCTTTAAACTGACTCACAAGTTTAATTAAAAAACAAAACAAAACAATTGCACCTAAGTGGTTGGGTGCATCATAGAGATATACTTTTGCGTGGTTCAGAATGAGTTACCCTGAGTCGTGCCTTTGTGTTGTGGGGGAGGAACAAACTTTCCTCTACCCTTGAGGTTCTTCTCTCTGGTAGTCAAATAGACATGAGAGAGGTTAGCAAGAGATAACAACCAAGTTTAATACATACACATATATGGGAACCCTGCATACATGAGAGAGTCAGAGACCCCACATGCAGGAGACGTTCTAGTCCTGTCAATTGTTGCTTGTGTTTTGAGGCTGTATGTTAGATATGTATATTTCATGATTAGTATATATTATTGATCTTCATTATTCATGAATTTTGTATTTGCTTATATGCCTCCTTGCTAAAATGTATTTATAATCCCCAGATCAGTATACATAATGCTTTTGAGGTCCTAGGCTCTCTCGGCCAGAAAGAGCTAGGAAATAAATATATGTAGACTAACCTGTACACTCACATTTTTATTTATTTTCTTTTTCTATCTGTGTATATCTAAAAAAGCATGAGTTCATATGATACCTCAGATTCCAAACCATCACTCCCCTCTTTTCTGGCTCTCACTATGTACAATATATTCACTTGTCTGTTCAATCCTAGTATAATAAGTACATGACAGCCAGCTATATTGTGAAAACCAGATTTATTAACTACAGTTACAGTATTTGTGTACATTTCTTTATGTCTTTAGCCTTGTAGTATGCAGTCAAAGTGCTGTTTTCCAAAGTTACTTGGGTCCTTTTCCCCCCATCTCCTCCTTTGTTGCTTTGTTATCTATTTATAATACAATTAGGTTCATTTGTTATTGTTTATATTTCATTTCGGGTTTCTTTTATATCCTGGTTGATTCAGTTACTTTTTGGGGGGAAGGGGCGCACATGTAAAACCTTGCTGTGGTTCTCGATGTCAAAGCTGTACAAAAGGGTATGCTTCGGGAAGTGTCAGTCTTCCTCATTGCTCTTCACCTGTTCCCAGTTCCCCCTCTTCCCACCCCTCTCTACGCCAGTAACCAGTCTCTTTAGTTTATGTTTCATGTATTTCTTAGGTACACATGAGCAGATAACATGTGTATTTCTTACATCCCCTTCTTTATTACATTGTTGGTAAAATACTGTAGATACTCTTTTGTACTTTGCTTTTTTCACCCAACATATCCTGGAAACCACTCCAAATCAGTTAAAAGAGATCTTTCCCACTCTTTCTTTTCATAGCTTCATACTTCATTGTGTGAGTGTCTCATAATCTGCCCACCCTCTCTCCTGTGTATGGTCATTTAGGTTGTTTCCAGTATTTTGCTCTTACAAACAATGCTGCAACCTTGTGAATTTTCTTATTGTCCAAAGTGTATTTTCGGAGTAGGCTCCTAGAAGTTATCAAAAGTTAAGTGAATATGTCAGTTTTTGCCAAATTCTTTTTTACCATCCAATTTTTTAAATATAGTCAGATTTACCCTCTTTTCTTTATTCGCCTTCAGATTTTTAGTGATTAGTTACAAAGTTTTTCGCCACACTAAGGCTAAAGAAATCACCTGTGTGTTTTCGTCTAGAACTTGTGTGGTTCATTTTGATATATTTAGAGCCCATATCCATTTGTCATCTATTATGTATTATGTGAGATATGGATCTAATTTTTTTTGAAATAGCACCAGTGTCCCAGAGACATTTTTAAAGAAGTACATCATTATCTTAGTGATTTAGGATGCTACCTTTATTATATACCAAATTTTTATATGTACTTGGATTAATTTCTGGACTATTTTATTCCATTGGTATATTTACCTATATATGTGCTAGTACCACTACTTTAATTATAGAAACTTTATAGTATGTTTTAACATCTGATAGGGCTGGTCCCCATTCATAATTCCTCCTTTTCACTGTTTTTCTGGCTGTTTCCTGACTGTTCTTGCATGTTTATTTTTTCATGTAAATTTTAGTATCAGCTCGTCTAATACCATAGAATAACTTGTTGGTATTTTTATTGGCATTGCAATGATTTTATAAATTAAATTAGGAAGAAATATAATCTTTTAATGTCCTATCCAAGAATAGAGAATGTCTTTCTATTTGTTCATATCTACTTTGTGTCTTTCAAGAGTGTTCTAAATTTTTCCTGGTATGAGATTTGCACATTTCTTGTTAAATTTATTCCTGTGTTTTAAATCTTCTTTACTGCTGTTGTAAATGGAGTTTTCTCTACTATCGTGTCCTATTTATTGCTTGTGTACATGAAGACTTGATTTTGTATGTTAATTTTATATCCTGTCATGTTACTGAATTGTTTTATTATTTAAATGTTATCATTGCTTTTTCTGGAGTTTTTCAGGTATACTATCATATTATATCATCTGCAAATAGAGAGAGTTTAATTTTTTTTTTCTTTACCCATTCTTACGCTTCTAGTTGATTTCTTTTGTCTAACTCCTTTGGCTAATACTCTAGTACAGTGTTGAATACAGTAACAGAGATGGTGGATATCTTTGCCCTGTTCCTGATTTTAGCGGAAATGTCTTTAGTGTTTCTATATTAAATGAAAGAAGTTTTAGAGCTATGTATGTGTGGGTGGCTTTGTCACAGAGTTCTAGACATTTGGATAGAACATGGGGACAGAATTAAGGAGAGGTTTCTATGAAGGCTAATCTACGCTCTGTCAAATTCTAGGGCAATAGCATATCACATTCAAAGGCCTAAGGTTTCATGTTTCAACTTGGGAATAGTAATTAGATATACCGTTACAACAAATCATTTGAATTTATATAAATCATTGATGTGTTATCATAGTCATAAATAAACATTTTATGCTTGTATTTGTCTTGTAGTGTGTACTGTATTTATGGAGTTTAAAGATAAACCATCCCAAAACGTTGTTTCTGCTTCGGGGAAATCATGAATGCAGGCATCTTACAGAATACTTCACCTTCAAACAGGAATGTAAGTATAACCGCTTCTTCAGAACTTTTCTAGTTACCCTTTACCCAATCCCAAAGTGAATCAAACATAAAGAAAAAAGAAACCAATGGGCCTCAGATGCTTCCTGGTTTTTTGTTTTTTGTTTCCCCTGGTAAGAACTGAGATTCCACCTTTTAACACATTTGTTTTGAAAATAACTCTGGGGTTTCCCCCTTATGTTTATAAAGTAATACATTTAGGATATTTGGAAAACAGAAAAGTCCGAAAAAGATCAAAATTGTTCGCAATTATACCAGTTAAAGATAATCACTATTATCTCAATATTTGAGACATAGTCTTCTATTCTTTTTTGTATATATAAAAACCTATTATAAATAAATATATAAGTATATATATTTTAATAAAATCGGGCTCATATGATATGTACTGTTTAATTAATTGCTCTTTTCACCTTATGTAAGAGCATTTTTCCATATGATTAAATATTTTTTAATGTGATTTTAAAATGTTATTTTAATGTTTTTAAAGTATTCCACTTTATCATGTATGTAAACAGTTTAGTAACAACTATAGGACATTTAGATTTTTTCCAACTATAAGTAATACTGTAATAGTAAAAAAGCTTATTATTAAAGGTAGAATTTTTTGAAAGTCAAAACATTACTAGCTAATAAATTGTTTTTAAATCTCACAGATTTCTTTGACCAGATCTAGGTACTTACAGTTGGCTCTTAACTGACATCCGGTGTGATGATGACTATATTGGGAGTGTTTGGGAGAACTTGCCCCAGAGCATTTGTACTTTTTGTTTCTCATTTCCCCAAATATCTGCTCATAAGACTTATATCCTTACTTCATTCATGTTATTTCTTCAGACAGTTTCTTCCCTGGTTGCTTTTTCTAAATTAAAGTCTTATCATTTAACTCTCACACCCTGCTTTTTATTTCATAGTATCTCTCAACATCTAAAATATATGTATTCTATATATAAAACATATATTTTTAATATATCTGTTTATTGTCTTAATCTCCCATCAGAATTTAAACTTCATGATGGCAGGGACCTGTTTTGTTCACTCTTGTTTTCCCAAAATAGTATCTAATAACTCATAAGAGATGTTTAATAAATATGGCTTCAATTAATTTGTTGAATGAATGATCATCTATGATTTGTATCATTAGGATAAACTCTCAGAAGGGATTTACTAGGTCAGAGGACATGAACATTTTAAGGATTTTTGATACATATTTGAAATAGTCCTCCAAAAAATTATATATCAGTTTATACAGTGAAAGGAAAATACTGAAATTAAAAAAACAAAATTATACCTTTTTCGATTTCTGAAATATTAGCATAGTCTCTGTAAAACAAGGAAGTTAAACTAAATCTCTTGGGTCCTGTCTGGCTCTAAAATCTATCTCCCCCAAAATGATCCTGAATACATAAAAATACTCTGGTGTTCCTATAATCGATATTTTGATCATGGATTTTACTTTGTGTCCTATTCAGATTTTTCTTCAGATTATTATCTTGGAGGAATATAAGATATTTAAAGCTTTATTCCCAAAAGAATATTCAAAGGTGAAAGAAATACTCTTTTTTCTTTTTTTTAAAGAAATACAGTTAAATTTGTTTTCAGCGACTTAGTCTTTATCCAACCCCTGACAAAATCCTTTTACTTATAGGTGTATTACAGTTTGATAGTGTCCCATATGCTCATATTAACTCTCATTACCAATAGCTTCCTACATTGAAGTTGGTAGTTGTAAAGACAGCCATCCTCCTAGTAGAGCCTGAAAGGAAAAATTGTTCTTATTACAAGAAATTTTAGGGTATGAACACTTTAAAAAAAAAAAATCCCTTTGACAGAAAAGTCAGCTACAAATGCGTAAAATACAGATCATTCCAGCCCTTGGGACTTATTGTGGTAAACATTATAAATCAGTAGATAATAATCAGGAAGTTAAAAAAAAAAATAGATCTGTTGATGAGTGTTTAAAATGATATAAAGTATTTGAAGAACAATTTTGGAATATCTGTAAGCATTTTGACCTAGCAGTTTGACAGCTAGGAATTTATCAGGTAGATTGCATTGGTTTTTTAATGCTAAATAACAAATTACTACAAATTTGGTTACAGCATGCCTGTCTGGAAACCCGCCCCTCCCTTTTTATCTCCTTATCTCCTAAATTCCAGAGTGCTGCAGCCTTCCTTAGTGGCTCAGTCTCCTTCTAAAATGTACTTTCAAGTCTAGGGCCATGCCACCCTGACCACGCCCAATCCCATCTGATCTCAGAAGCTAAGCAGGGTCGGGCCTAGTTAGTACTTGGATGGGAGACCACCTAGGAAGACCAGGAGCTATAGGTGTAAGGAAGGAAGGAAGGAAGGAAGGAAGAAAAGAAGAAAAGAAGGAAGGAACGAACGAACAAACGAACGAACGAACACGAACTAAGGAAGGAACTTTCAATAAATCTTACTTTTTCTCAGTCTCAAAAACACAAAAAACAAATTACTACAAGTTTAGCTGCTTAAAACTGCACATTTATTATCTCGCAGCTACTATAGGTCAGAAGTCCGGGTACAGTGTGGCTGAATGCTCAGGGTCTCGTGGAACCAAAATCAAGGTGTTGCCAGGGCTGCAGTTCTCTTCTGAATCTTGGGGTCTTTCTCCAAGTTCACTAGTTGTTGGCAATCCTGTGACTCTAGGATTAAGGTCCCCATTTTCCTGCTAGCTGTTGGCCAGGGACTGCCCTCAGCTTCTAACTTGCCATGCGGCCACATAGGTAGTCACAACGTAGATGTCTGCTCTTTTACAGGCTGCCCGAATGCATCTCTCTGCTTTCCTCTTCTGCGATTAGCCAGCTGGTGAAAACTCTGTTTTTTCAAAGACTCACTGATTAAGTCAGGCCCACCCAGGAGACTCCTTTTTTGCCATAAGGAGGTGTATTCATGGAAATCTCAGCATAGTCACAGGTTCTACCTACTCTAAGGGGCACAGATTATACAAAGGCGTAGATCATTTTAGAATTCTGCCTACCACACTATGTACTTATAAAAAAAAAAACAATAAAATATGGATGTATAAGAATGTTCATTGTAGTGTTACTTGTAATAGCAAGCAATAGAGAGAATCTAAATGTCATTAAGACTGCTTAAATAAGTGATAGTACATTTTAAATGGAATACTAGGTGGCTATTGAAAGATCAAGGTGGATCTAGATGTACTGATATGGAGCGATGCTCAAATATATTGTTAGATGATAGAAACCGTCTGCAGAATGTGTAGTGTGATGTCTTTTGTAAATTAGAAATGTATAATGTATAGAAGAAATTGGTAGTAGTGATTACTTGTGGGCAGTTGCATCAAGAGGACTTGTACTTTTAATTTATATCCTCCCATAGTACTGCTTGAATTATCTTTCATCACCACCATGCACTGCTATTATAAAAAACTTTTTAAACTGGTAACTTTAAAATTACCCTATTGGGGCCCAAGCATTTGAAAGGCTTTTGAAAGCACCCCAGGTAATTCAGCTACATGCTGCTGGTTAAGAAGGCCCGCCCTGGAGGCTTGGGAGTTATCTCCTACTTGTCATTTGAGAACCATTTCACCAAGTAGTTTAAAAATTAGAAATATTTCACATTGTTTTTCTAAGTCGAATATTAGAGTATTCCTCATCACACCTGTATTTCTTTATCTGGGAAAATTAAATAATACATGTCAAGAAGTTAACAAAGGCTTTGGAATGCTCACTATTTTGCAATAGGTAGGTAACGAAGAAAGCTGTCTGTGGATGTCTGCATTCTGAATTAAGATTCAGTTCTCATAGGTAACATTTTATCTAATTCTTCTGCTGTTTTCTTAGAGTTTTTGTTGTTTTTGTTTTGGGGTTTTTTTTGGACTAGTATAATTGGTTCTCACTATTTTTAGAAGATGGGACAGTAGGTTTGGGAAACAAATTTTAAGTGTCCCATTTTGCACAGAATTTCTTATCTCGGATTTTTATTTGCTTTTCACATGGTTTAATTTAGTTAAACCAGGTTTCTTTATTTTTCTCTTATGTACCAAGATACTCCATCTGTTTCATTCTGATGCTGCCTCTGAAATGTAAATAAACATTGGAACAAGCACACAAATTCAAGTACAATTTCAAATTTTATTTCTATATAAGGAAAGAGCATGTGTGCTGCTTTGCATGGATGTTTTTACTGATAAGCCAATCTCTCTTAAAGGGCCACTGTGGCTTTTCGAATCAGCACCTTATAATTACTGCTAAGTGATGCTCACTTCCAGATTGTGCAGCTGCAATCTTGGTAATATTTCTAAAGCGGGCAGATGGAGGCTCTTCTTATATTAATTCTTAAATTGCTTTATGCTGCAAATTTTTTTTTTTGTATTCCTTTTAAATCCAGAGATAATTTGAGTAGCAGAGAAAAGTATTCCAGTTAATTTTTGACGTACTCACCTTTGCAAAAACATTTATTTTTATGTACTTGGAAAGCAAGAAACCTAGTACTTTTATGACCCCATCTTATAGCCTTAGGTCCAAATTTCTAAAGTAAATTAATTTCTTGTTTCCATGAGCTATTTTGTGATGTGTAATTAACCAGCTTACTGATAGGTTCCAGAAACTCTTATAATTTTGCTAATGAAACGGTATTGTTATGATTTTTAAAAAAATAAACAGATATCGTTTGTCATTGTTCATTACAGCATTACTTATAGTATTAAGAGATTGGTATGGTTAGCTTGTGGTATATCTGTTAAGTTAAATACTATGTAGATATAAAAAACGTAATTACAAAGCTCTTCATACAAACATGTAGTATGATCTCCAAAATATGTTAAGTACAAAACAGTGTATAGATGCTGCCACTTACGTAAAAAATAAAAGGATGGTGCGAAAAGAGAACAGATATACATGTCTGCACTTGTATGTATCAACTAGCTTTGTAAAGACACCAAGGAACTGGTAATACCGGGTGCCTGCAGAGAGAGTGTAGGAGACACTGTGTCCTTTTGTAGCTTATAGATTTTGAGCTGTGTAAATGTATTACCTTTGTTTTAAATAGTGAAAACACATAAAATTAAAACAAACATATAATCAATGGCTAGACCAGGTTGTGGTTTCTTGCAAATAATGCTGCCCCTCAAAATTACTTTCAAAAACTGTTGATAATTTTGTTTTGTTAATGTCGTATTACTGATTCTAGTTAGAACTTGTATCGGTGGATCCTATGACTGACATGCATTTTTTCCTTTATTATGGAAATAATTGTTTTATGGGCTAGATCTTAACATTTGTCGTGAAAATAAAGTGCATGAGTCAGCTAATTTAACCTTTGGGAATTATGTAGTTGGCTATTTAGATTCTCCTATGAAATATTTAATTTAAAAATAATGATCAGGAAGAGTATTACATGGCGTTAAGGGCATGAACAGGTTCAAATTCCCGTTCTGCCACTTACTAGCTTGCAACTTTGGGCAAGTCAGCCCGATTTCCTCAGCTTTTTAATAAAGCTAGTAAATTGTGCCTACTTAACAGGGTTTCTGTGTGGATTTAATAAGGTAATTTTATTGGTTAACACTTATATAGTTCTTGCCGTGTGCCAGACATTATTCAAAGCATTTAACATATGTGAATTCCTTTAATCCTCCCAGCAACCTTGTAATGTAGGTAATACTATAATTACGCCCATTTTATAGGTGAGGCGATCCAGGCAGAGAGAGAGAAGTAATTTGTTCAAAGTACCCTCGCTGGTGAGTGCGGGGAGCCGAGGGTCAGGCCTGGGCAGTCAGGTTCTGGACTCTGCTCTCTCGACCCCTGTAGTGTGTTGAAGACGTAGCTTGCTGAGGGCACATGCATGGTGTAAGCCTCCGGCAAATTTCAGTAATGGAGATAATATAATAAATGTTGCTATACCAAATTATACAGAAAATGTAAAATTTAAATGTTGGTATTTATATACATATTCATATACTTGAAGAAAATTAAAATGGTAGCATTTTATAACCTAATTTGGTCATGTATTTATATAACATGAACTTCTTTTTGCCTAATTTGATCCATCACCTCTTGTTTTAATTTGCAGAATAAGTTAAGACACTGTATTACTTGCTGTCTTTCTTCAGACTCGGTGTCCTTTTGGAAGTAGGCTAAGGAATTCTTTGGAATCATTGTTAAGGTTGAGAGGCATCTTATTCGTGTAAAATGGTTTTGTGGAACATGAATAAATAAGTAATTCAAATCCCTGCCTATATGCAACCTTAGGACTGTTACAGAAGAATTCCTTATTGACAGGGACAACAGAAAGTTCCGGCTCCAAGGATTTTAAGGAGAAAAAGTCAATCACTAGCCAGAAATGAAAGGTTTTTTTTGTTTGATTTTTTTCTTCCACAGCCTTTATGGCCAATGCTAGGTCTACTTTTGAAATAGCCAAAATTTATAGTGTTCAAATACAAAGCAGAATATAGGGATATAATTGTAAGGAGATACAAAGATGCATAAAACATGGCTCTTGTTAACTGGGCTGTCATAGTTGAGTCAGCATATGTTGTAAAATTGATGATCTTAACTGCTGTCATAGGAACGCAGAATGCTCTGAAAGTTTCCAAAGACACCCACAGACCCCCTTAATGCCTTCAAACCCTGATCACCCAGAATTGGCAGTAAAGAGGATCTTTACATTCAAGGAAAGCCTGTAACCCCAAATGTGGCCCACTGGTTTACACCTTCCCTTGAGGGCTCTGTCCCCACTCATTCCTGCCACTCATGTACTGCACTCTGCCCAAATCTGGACCCATTACCCTTCACTTCATTCCCCAAAGCCTTGTCAAAACCAGGCTCTGATACTTAAACATGTCTTCCGAAAGCTTGGAGATCACAAGAAGGAAATAAACACAAATAATTACCAACCAGATAAGCTGACTCACTTGCTATAGTTTTGTTCTCTAGCCCTGTAGGTTCTGTCTCATCTTCACAGAATCTTGGAAGAGGAGAAGGAGCTCATAGTTCTGCAGGGCTGCATGCCTGTACGACTTCCGGCCTTCTCTACTGATGTGTCCCTCCAAGCACGGCTTGACTTTTTGAAATCCAAGGCCAAGGAAGAAGAAACCATTGCTTTCTCTTTAAACGAAGCCATTTTTCAGTTTTCCACCTATTATTTCATGAGCTATTCTTTCTTGGTAACTGTGGAGACCCCACCCTCTGCCCACTGGAGTATTTCCTTGTTCTGTAGCCCCAACATGACAACCACATCAAAATACATTTCATTAAGATGAACGTTTTTACATAAAATAGATCCAAGATATAATTTGCTTATAGACCTTAAAAGTCATGAGCAAAAAGATTATTGACATTTTATCGATGACCGAAAACTCCAGTTTCCATTTATATATCTTCAGCACTCCCAAGGGGTCTTTTTAGACCCAACAAAATATTCAAAGTACCATGCACTCTCCGTGGCCCCCACCTACTTAGGAGATGTTTCTGGAAGGGCTGCACCAGGCATCCATTTTCAGTAGAGTAGTCCTCACAGATTTGCTGCCGCTCACCTCCATTTCTCCCATCCCCTCCAAGTCACGGTTTAGGTGCAAGAAAAAATATCCACACTGGGCAGGTTAGGAAGCCACCCTGGCTTGGAAGTCGCATGCGTTACAAGTACCCGTATCTCTTGTAAAAACTTTCTTGGCATAGCTTATAGGGTCCCAAGGGGACATACTTTGCGAGTCACTGCACTCAGAGAAGCCCAAAGCTATAGCTTACTGCCAGATGGTTGTGTAACTTTTACTATAAGCAGCATGCATAAGCAACATTGCCTAATAACACAGCTGACAGTCACCTTATCGGGTTTCCAGGGCAACAGAGCTAGAAAGTTAATCCAAGGTCATCCCTGTCTTTAGAGAAGGAAAGAGGTTGTGTTTACTCTTCAGCCACAACTTTTCAAAAATATCTTTACAAACATGATTGTGTTTTCAAATTTGCCCGAAATAAATGGCTTTGAAGTAGCTTCATAATCTTCTGGCCTATATCCGTTTTCCTATATGATAAATTTTAGCTTTTCTTCTTTTGACTTTTTTTTTTTTTTTTGATAGGTCGAATCAAATATTCTGAGCAGGTGTATGATGCGTGTATGGATACATTTGACTGTCTTCCTCTTGCTGCCCTCTTAAATCAGCAGTTTCTGTGTGTACATGGAGGGATGTCACCTGAAATTACTTGTTTAGATGACATTAGGAAAGTAAGTAATCTTTCATTAGTCACA